ATGGTATTGCTCACAATTTACTTCTCGTGTCAATATCAGTGCCATTGACAGAATAAAATGCGTAGGTAACAACACTAAGTCCATCGAAGCTGTGTTCCTGCCACTACTGCACTACCAAAGCGGTAACTCTGTTCGTTGCTTCATTCTAAATGCTAATGGTTTGGTAGTATTTGATTGGAAGACTGATGATCAAAGCTTAAAGTCAAAGGCAAAATCTTTTGATGTTTCAGCAACTCATCGAACCAAAACTATATTGTCCCACTTGGAGTTTGAGCTCCTAATTGAAACAGTATATCATAGGGGGGCTGACCAACCCGATTTTCATTCTATTTAAATTGATTTTATTTAATTTTTAGGTCAAAATTTGAATTTTTGAGCTTTTAAGATAGTTTTCAAATTTTCCTAAACTTTCAGGGACTTGTTACCCGATTGACCATCTCTGTCAGAAAAAAGGATATTGTTTCAAACGTGGGCTGAGGAAAAATTGAAGCCCTAACCTTAGGGAGCCCATGCCTCTACCAACCAAACTAGGTCACTGTTGGTGATAGATATAACTTAAAATGTCTTTTTAACCTTTGTAGAATGGATTTTTAAAATTCCCAAATCAGATTGCTACCATGCAGCATCGAATCACATCCCATTTATTTTTTTAAATCCCCGCTGTCCCGTCCACTATCGATCAACCGTTACTCGACCATTTGTCACCGTTCCCACCATCTGGAGCGTCGTTCAGTCTTGATCGAAACCCCTCGGTCCTTCGCCGTGAAATGTCTTCCTTCTTCGTGAATCGTCGTTTGAATCTCGTCTTAAACCTAAGTTATTGTCATTTGGTTTTCAATGAATTTCGGACAATCCCGAGCTCCGATGACCTCACCGCCACTGCCACCGTGATCTCCATCTCATCCCGACCAAACCTAATTGGCCCCTCATCGAGTTTTTTCGTCATTCGTAAATCGTCCGTCGAAGCTTCATCGAATAACCCATTACCCGTCACTGTTTTGGTTGATTCTGGCTGCCTCGACCGTCCACTTGCTTCACCACCTATACAGTCGAGATCCTCATGAAATTCCGAGCGAAACCCATCCACAGTGTTTCTTCGCCGTCGATTTCTCCGATCACAAAGGGTGAACTCTTCGATTCCTTTCTCTGTTATTTTGTTTATGTTTGGTTAGGTTTTCAGTAAATTTGGACGTGCTATTGTGTTGGCAACATTTGTTATCGGCCGCTCGAACAGACTACGTCGTTGTTATCACGCGCCACTGTTGCGCGTGAGGCTCCTTGGCATCCTTGGGAGACTTATAGAACCGATCTAGTTAGACGGGTTCGAACTGAACCAGTCCACCCTAGATCAAATCGGTTATTATTGCACTGGGTCAATCGCTTAGTCAATCTACTGAGTCAACTCGAACCAGTATGACCCCTTGACTTTAACATCCATTTGACTTTGACCAGGGTTGATTTGATCAAAAAGTGAATTTTTTAAAAAGGCATATTATGTTTTTGACGACCTGGGTCCGAATCTGTAGTATGTTTCTCCAATTCGAACCTGATAAGCTATTTTTCAGCATTTTATCTTCTGATTCGAATAGTTTTCTCGATTAAGTTTTGTTTCTGACATTATTTTGCAATGTATCTGAGACATTATGAGACATGGAATTAAAGTTTAAGAATGATCGAATGAAATTAAAATGATCGATTGATGTGGCTCGAAAATTGAGTAATACATTTACCTTTTGTATGTTTTTAGAAATTCAATGATAATTGTTAATGCATTAATGAAATGAATGGTCAATTAGGTGTATTTAATTATTGTTGACTCTAACTGAATACGGAATAAAGGTAAAAACTATATAGACTCAGATGGTTCTTATGAGAATTGGAAGACCGCTCGAAAATAATTTTAAGTTTAATGATTAATGAGTAAATAAATTGATCTCGGGATCCACAAATTCTGATTAATTTTTTTAAAGGTTAAATTTTGAGAATACTTGTTAAGAAATTAAAAAATAACCATGTAGAGTAAAATTATCAAAAAAAAAATCTATTATATTGTAAAAAGACAAAGATAGCCCCCTTTTCACTTAATTAAATTACGAGAAAACTTACATATGTTTGGATTGAACAAAATTATCAAAATGTCATTAAGATGTGAAATAACTAAAATAAACTCAAGTATTCAAATGATCGAAATACCCCTGAACCCTAAAAGAACCAAAATACATTAAATTCTGAGATGACTGAAGTAACATCGAGTGTTGAAGTGACCTAAATATCCTAATGACTTGGAATAAATGAATGTCTTTGGATAAATTTTGGAAATACCAATAAACTTAAATATTGTATCGCCCCTAAAGGTTATGGAGACAACTCAAGGACGTCAGTCACTGTATATATTACAGTTCAGAAATAAATTAACACCACCAAAATACTTGCTCATCTTCTGAAGATCTTTTCAATGTGGATTCTAAGGGAGATTTGTTCAACCGATGCAGTCAATATTAAAAAGTGAATATCTGTGAAGCGTTTCGGCTCGAATGATTAGCAAGTATTACAGTGTTGGAATCTGATTAATTTGACTTTACTCAAAGATGATAATTCGATATAAATTCTGAATATTGCAAACAATTTCTTGACCTTTCTTGGGTGATTTCATTTTATATATATGAATCTTAAATTATTCTGATGTAAAGGTTCTTGAACAGCTTCCTGATGCATCTGAATCTTAAAAGGGTTCTAAGGTATTAATTCTAAATGTTTGATTATATTTGTTAACAATTGATTCCTTTTTATAGGGACCTCATCCCTGAAATATGATCAATTTACATAAGCTCCATGTTTTCTATTCCTGGTAGTTACCAAATACCTCTGAAAAATATATGGATCTTCTAGTGTGTTACTTGTGTTCTATATTTATTTGTTTTAACTGATTTTGAAAGCATAATTTCGTTTACTGATTTTCTTGAGTTCTAATTTTATTGATATGAAATTTCTTGTTACTGTAAAATGTCTTATTTATGATCTCTTGATTTTACCAGTGCTATATGAAATTGTTTTATTAGGGTACTGTCTGGAGACTCTGAGGTTCAACTAGCTGGTAATTCTTTTATGTTTGATAATTCATAATAGACTCCTAGATCCTAGGGGTCTAAGATAAGTCTTTATGGATGTTTGTTTTGGGGATTTGCATTCGGTGTACGGTTGTATGGTAACTCTGTGTTTTGAATAAAAACTCAATCTCTTATTTATGTTTTTTGATATATAATATATATGATTCTCGATCTCTGAAGTACTGGTTATTATTAAACTGATTTATAGTAGGGTATTGATTTCGTAGGATTCTAAAGTCTCTGAGGTTCAACTAGCTGGTAATTCCTTTTTGTTCTGATCATTCATATTGGACTTCTAAATCCTAGGGATCTAGGGTAAGTCCTTATGTGTGTGTTCTGGGGAATTTCATATAGAGTGTTCGGGTGGAAAGTATTATAGTGATTTTAAAAAAAATGTTTCCTAAAATAAACTACTATTTTTTAAACTATTTTATGTTTTATGAGAACACATTAGACGTCTGTTTTCAATCTCCTGAACTGGTCCTCTAAACGTTTCCTCTAAACTATAATCTTCTTGGTTATTACCTGAAGAAATTTACCTGAAGAAATATCAATAGAACCTTAGCTTATCAAGAAAACCTGTATATGTCTGAATCAATAAGGAAATTTTTATGCTTACCTTTTATCTGCATGTCCTTCATTTGATAGTTTTATATTATTGAGCTTTCCCAAAGCTCACTCTGATCTCATCATTTTAGGTTAAAGATCGATCATGTGCAATTATCAACATCAGTATGGGAGTTATTCGGCACTACTTTAGAGTACGGTACAAGTGTAATTGGGGGCATGTAGGTCATACTTGTTCATATGGAGTTTGTTACTTTCACAATATTGTGTATGATTAAAATTTGTTTTAATATTTGAATGTTTTCTGGATTTGTATTTTATTTATAATTGTTTTACGATTTGAAATGGATTAGCAAAAATTGAAGTTTCTCCCACATTTTTATTGCGACACTTCGGATTTGATCAGGCCTTCTGGGGTGTTAAGTGGCAGTAAGAGGTTTTGAAGTTGAAATTGAAAGCTTCATTAAATAAAGCAGAAGAAAAGAGAGAATGTGATAGAACAAGTACATAATTTGGCTGAAGAGTGGAGAGAATTGCTAGCTCAAAGGTCTAAAGAGTAGAAAGTGGAGAACAACAAAATCGCACATGTGTACCAAACATAAAAGTCCATCCCAACTGACTTCCATAAATGAAACAGCTAATTTCCTCTACATAGTGACGGAGCCGTCTGGTGAGCACATAGCGAACTATTCATTTACCTTTTACTAAAGAATATCGTGTGCTCTCCACTTAAAGCGGCATACGTCTATTTTTTTTGGAAGGGTATTCTTAACTGAATGCCCCATCTCTTCCAAATATTTTAGTTCATAAGAGTGTACATTGATTGAACAAATTCCATCAGTCCAGCCCAAAAGAATCCAGGATAATTTTGATGGGAATGAAGTTTGCACCAATGCAATCCATAAACTTTAAGAACTCAAACCCACCAAAAATTAATAAATAAAGAAGTACTAAAATCCTCAAGAAAATTTATTGGAAGAATTATCGAAAAGGAAACAACTGTAAAATTTAAGATCAGTGTGTCAAATCTCTCTTTTTGTATTAATTATAAGTTTCAACTATGCTCGGTTTCAATTCGAAAACCATTTCTTATTGCTGTGGAATATGACCGATGAAGAAAAAAACATAACCCAAGAGTAATGGCAATTATGTATTAGCAAAAATGCTCACCATGTGTTTGACGATATGCCAGCGATTTATACAAGAGTCTCTCTGTTGCTAATGACCCATAACTGCTGTCAACCAAATAACTGCTAGAATATCATACCACTGAGGTTGTCATCGTCCATTATTGTAGCTACCGAGCACATAAAGCTAAGTAATTCATAAACAATCTTTATTAAGTTGCCTTGGCTGTTTTGCAACATCGGTTATCATCGGTCGATTCTCCGGATTTTCATGCGTGCAACAAAGTGCAATCTTTGCAAAACTCACCAACTCATCACAATTGATTCCTTCACTTAAAAGTTTTTTATCCTCAATTTCAGTTAACAGGTTGTTTTCCACATGATTCAACACCAATTCTCTAAAGGTGGCTTCCAGTTCGTCCACATTGTGATCCTCATATGGTTTTCTAGTCAAAAGCTCAAGTAATAGTATCCCAAAACTAAAAACATCAGCCTATTCATTTATCTTGCATTCCAAAACCTCAGGTGCTATGTACCCAACTATCCCCGAGATACTGTCTTCTACAACATGCGATTTTCCCTTCGGAACATATTATTAAATTGTGGTTGTGGTGTCTGTCACGGATACGGTTACAGACATTGTAGACATTACGTACCGCGTAACGGTTGCTGCGGGCGTGATTTGTTTATAAGAAATCACATTATTTCTAAAACATTATATTTATACATTTTACATTCATATTTTAATATGGGTTTCAAATTGCGGTTGTAATACCCTAAAAATTTAGATAATGACCAAAATGAAATTTTGGAAAGTTTGATGATCAAATAGAAAATTTGAAAAAAGTTTAGGGAATTAAGTGATAATTTCCTAAAAAGAATTTTATTCCATAAGTGAATAGTTTACTCTTGAGAGTGGAGTTTTATAGAAATCATATTTTTGGATTTGGAATTTTAGTAAAGGAAAAAAACTAGAAAGAGTCAAAGTCCGATAAGGAATCGGTAATTCCGATCGAATTGAAATTTTAAAAAAATTTGAAGGATGTTATAAAATGGTTGGAAATATTATTTTAATATTTTGGATCAGAGAAATTTGGTTTGGAATTGTGCAATTTTTCAGATTTAATCGAAACATTGGAATTTAGTGACTAAAACGCAAATTTTTGGAAATTCAAGGGGAAATTCAGAAATAAAAGTTAAAATAATTCATATTTGACTTTGTATTATGATAATGATCAGATGGCTTGGTTTTATGGTGAATATGGAAATTCATTAATGGCAAAAATGAAAATTCTTATTGGATTGAATAAAAAAAATGCTATCATAATATATATTGACATGTGTTAGATCTATTATATCATAAAATATCAAATATGGTGGAGCATCTTCAACTTCTTCTTCATCCAAGACCGACATCTCCAAGCTTGCAAGGTAGGTGTTTTTGTTTTGAACTTTGAAGCAATCTTGTTGAGAATTACACTTAGGTGTGATTAGGAAAAATATTCTACAATCAATTCTCTACATTTTGACATGAATATTACTAAGGTTTCATGTTCAAGTTCATCTTGAGTTGATGAAGGGGATTTTGATTCTTGTGTTTTATGGGTTTTGAAGAGTTAAGTGATTTTAAAGAATTTGTTGTAAGAATTGATGAAGAACCTAAGAATGAAGTTAAAGAAAACAGTTTGGATTTTGAATATCGCAGTAGGTTCAAAAATTCACCAGAAATTATATAAAAATAATTTCGAGGTTATTTTTATATATTTGTGTTCATATATCGATCTAGTTTCGTTTAAAACAAACAAGGATCAATTGCAAGGTGTACACAAAAAGATATGAATTTTTAACCAAGGAATGGTCAGAAAATGCAGACAACAGATTCTGCAAAACAGATTATGTTGATCAACTTTGAAAATTCACCATAAATTGTACAGAATGAATTAGAAGGATTTATTTATATGGATAGATTCGTATTCAAGTTTAGTTTTTAATGGAAGAAACGGAATTGAATTCCAGTGTGTATATCAATACATAATACTGGTTCGTTTAAGGCAATGCAAGTTGTAGGAATATGGAAATTTTAGAAAGTTTGGTGATTGTAATACAAATTTCGAATTGTTGGGAGTGTTTATTGTAATTATGTCTTTGTATGGGTACTTGGTTTATAATACTTTCAACAATGGAATTTTTGGTATTAAGAATTTAAGTGATAAAATGGTGAAGGACCATTTTGAGTAAATTAGAAAAGTGGGTTCTAATGTTAAAAAGGAATTAATAAGTACTGAATTATTTTGTGGAAATGAGTTTGAAGTATGTTATGGAATTATTTTGGGATGTGTTTATGTTAGAACAATACTAACATATGAAATCGTTATGAATGGTGATTTATACAGATTGTGATTGAATTGTAATCGAAGCAAATCGAATATAAAAAGGGCTTATGGTGGACAATAGTGAGGCTCATATATTTTGAAAGATATAAAGTGTCAAGGTTTAATATTGGGCTATTGGCTATAGATTATGTTTTATTAGTTAATAAATGATAACCATGCAAATAAACTTATGAGCTTACGGAATAATGGCAAGTATATTGGAAAAATAAGCTTACGAGCTTATGGAATTTAAATGGTAAGTATTTTGGTAAAATAAGCTTACGAGCTTATAGGATAAATGGTAAGAGATTTTATATTATTTTGATCATAGTAAAATATTGGATATGTTAGTAAAATGATTTTATGGAAATTTGATTTTTTATATTGAAAATCATGCATGAAATGTATTGCACTGTTAAATGTTTTAATTGCCTCACTAAGTATATACTTAGCGTGTGATGATTTTCACGCGTAGGTAAAAAGCCAGTAATGAAATAAAGAATTTAAAGCGTCATCAAAGATCGAGAAGTATATCTCAATATAAGTAAGACATCCTAAGTTGTAATGTTAATTTTATTAGTGGCATGTTATTATAAATGTTTTATTTGTTTGTTAAACAAATTTGGAAACAAAATGGAATTTTATTGAATTTATATGTATTTTCGAAAGTTATTGTAGCAATGAACATTAACCACGGTTTTAAGCAAAATTTTCCAATACCGATTTTCCTACTGTTCACGAGTACTGTTCCCTATTCATAAAAAAATCTTTTGGATTAAATTTGTTTATAACATAATATAAATTATATGATATGATATTTTTATAATATCATTTACGATTTTAAGAAGATGAATTTTAAATTGCTTATGAATTGGAAAATGGTTTTAGAAATTCGAGTGACATCTATAAGTATAGATATAATTATATGTATTTATCGTAATTGTGGCCGTAGCGGGCGCTATTGAGTGCTATTGCGGGTGTAGTGGATAACTCGGATGGTGGCGCTACCGCTATTTCGCGGGCGCTATGTTTTCGGACCGTGATTTGAAAACCTGATTTTAATATTCTAATATTAACTATTTTTAATGTCATATTCTTATAGTCAATCTTCAATTATTATATAGAGAGGCATTATAAGTTTAATGTTTGTTAATATATAATATCATTTTTTTGTTAATTCAAAATATTTGAGTATTTTATCTATGTAATTTTATATTTCGGACAATTTGGATGTTCGTTGCGGTGTTGTTACTGCGTAATTTTTTGCCTATTGCGGTGTTACGTAACGGTTTTAGACCACAAAAGTTGTGATGTAATTCCCTTATTGTGTTATGCTAATATTGTATCGCGGAAACCTGCAAAATCGTTACTGCAACCATTACATTACGTTGCAGCTGCAATTTAGTACTAAGCTTCGGAATGGCTACTGAGAGCGAGAAATCGGAGAGTTTGGCGACGTGATTCGTATCTATTACTATCGATATAGCGAAAGACCTCGATTAATAACAGGTCTAGACAAAGCAGTATGAAGATATGAAACTGCATTAGCAATGTCCATTGCGATCTTTATTCTAGACTTCCATGGTAATGGCTATGCCTCAAGTCCCCCCCCCCCCCCCCCACAAACATCAAACATTAATCTCTTGAGATTTCTATCACCGCCAAATTCATACACAAGCACTGGATTTTGAGTCTCTAAGCAGCATCCTATGAGTTTTAGAACATTCTTGTGAGCACTCATTTGCGAGCTAATCACAATACCTGTTTTAGCCGTTTCGAGACATTTGGTATAGCCCTGGTACCTTGTCACAGAAATCTCACGACCATGGAGAGATCCTTCGTATAACACGAAGTGAATGTACCTCAAGATTTCCCGACAGGCGTCGTAGCCTTTCTTTGCTTCGCTCAGGTCGTCATCGGAGAAAGTTCGAATAGGATTACATTAACCATCAGATGAGGCAATAAGCTTTTCTAGTAACATGCTTCCGTGCTTCAAAAATAGTCCCTCATCCTTGCTTTGCCTTTTTATTCTGAGAAATGATCCGATCTTGCTTCCCTTCGACATACAGCAACTACAAACAGAGATGCTAAATAAGAGAGACTTATAATACACTGGGACAATGGTGGTAAAGATATAATCTTCTTCAAATTGGTTGCAGTTAACAAAACTTCAATGAATTCTTCCTAGCTAAAACAGAAGTAGCAGAAATAGTAAAAGGGCAGAAAAATAGGAACCTGAAATTGTAGAAATGGGTACTTAAGGGACAAAGTTGAGCAGAGCC